GCCACGCTAGTAGTAACAGGTGCCTTACTAGTAGTAACAAATAGCTACTAGAAACAAGTGCCACGCTAGTAGTAACAGGAGTTGACACCTAGGGGACTCATGTTCCACCACTCAGTCACCGAGACCGAAACCGGATCGACGGGACGGATCTCCGTCGGCCAGGTCAACAAGCGAGACCTGCAGACTTTTTCCGAAGGGGTCGTCCGTCTCAGTTCGGTGGTTTTCTCGAACATACAAGCTCTTGACTCAGAAACCACGTGAGAGAACTCTATAAAACCAACGGGTGTGTCTTCTTCTAAGAAGGGAGGCAGCTCCAAAAAGAATTGATAGAAAAACGAAGGATTGAAGGATCCCTCCATTCTCAAACATAACCCAAACCATCGGTCGGTCGACCCTCAGCCGACCCCATCAGCCCAAGTCGCCGGTCGAAATCTGGCCTCGGTTTCGAGCGGAACGAGCTGGAAGTGAAAGGGCGTGAAGGTGCAACTGGCGTTTTTACACCAAAAAGACCATAGCGATAGGCGATAGTCTATACATGTCTAGACCCCTCATCCCTAGTCTATACCTTGTAGGCATTCGAAAGTGTAGGACAATGAGTCGGACATTCAGTCCGCCTCAAGACCGAGAGCATCCGAGAGCTGGAGAGCCACATTTTCACCAACTCAGTCCGGCGGTAGAGTCAAAACAACTCCCAGCTTTTGGTGGCACATGTAACAATCACAAATCTCATTTCACCTATGCCCAGCTGAAGTCAGACCTTTCCACCTGCGGTTTTCATGTTTGTGAGACAAAACGGAAGATTGATTGGGTCACTCGCAGTTTTCCAGTTTGGGTACAAAGACACGAAGGTTGTGACTTCACAGAAGGTGCCAGTTGGCACACCTTCAAATGCGCCGCATGCGAAAACAACCCGCTGTTAGTAACTCATCTGGTTGTGACCGACAAGAACATCACTCAAATGATTACTGCGAGGTTCATTTCTTCAAAGTATGGACCGCAGCTACACACAAACCTTCTCAAGAGCTCTTCCTTGTCGTTGCTGAAGCATCTCACAGTTCTGTTGTCCCAGTTCTTTGTATAACAGTATTTTTTCGAATTTCTTTGTTTATAACTGGATAACATTGTTAAAAGAACCAGAAAAATACCTTAGACCATACCAGTACTCATTTCACTCTGAAATACCTTCGATCGCGGGGCTTTCAAGCGGCGCATCGTTTCGGCGTCCTTCACTCGCGACCCCTCGCGACGAAGCCACATGCCGTCATCTCGCTCAGCCACCACCTGAGAGCTCAGGCACCAAGAGAGACCCACGTTCTTTGTGTTTGTTGACCGGAACTACACCAGTCACGGACGCGCTGTCTTTGGCCTGAGCAAGAGGAAAAAGATGACCTGAAATATATATATATATATATAGATGGTGAAATCCCCCAAGTTACAAACCTTCTGCTCTTTTAGAAAGACTTGATGTTTACATGTTTCCTGCAATCCTGCCACAGCAAACACTTTCCAACTGCTTCTAGTCATTCTAGTCCATACTTCAGCAGTTGAGAATTTGCATTGATCTCTCAATTTCATCAATCCATCTCAGAGATATTCGTTCATCAATCTAAGCCAGGGCACTTACATCAAACCATATTACCATTGATGAACTCCCCTCACAACATTGTTCTACATCCCCGTTCGTTTTCTGACGGAGATCGTTGCAACAGCGGCCTTGACGTTCCGGAAGCTCGGCAGGTGTTCTGCTAGCTCATCGTCCAGCTTCAGCTGCCCTGCCTGGGTGCTTTCTTCTGAAAAAGGGGACGCGGAAGTCTTTTGGGACCATGGGGAGTCTGGATAGTATGGTGCCTGTTCGAAGAGAGGGGAAATACCATATCACACCAAATCCATGAATCAACCCTTTGAGGACATTCCGCTTGTCACAAAGATTCCTTTCACAATCTTCACTTCACTGGTCAAATTCATCACTGCTTTCCATCCTTTTTCACACCTCCCAACCCCCCCGGTCACCCCCCCGTCTGGTCCGGTGTGGGGCATCCAACACACCTCGCCTCGAGGAGTTGCATCACTGCGGCGGCCACCACGCACTTCGTCATGGAGTAGATCTGGGAGTCGCGATCGGAAGCCACTGCGGACGGAGTGGACGGGTGATCTGGAGCGAAGCGAGGAGCGCCCCTCCCAAGGAATGCCCCTCCCAATGGAATGTTTGAATGCACAACGGAGTTGCATGGAATATGGAATAATCGAGTGCTCACATTACTGTAGCTTGTTTCACAACGGAATTGCATGGAATATGAAATATTTGAGCGCTGAGATGTATAGTCGCATATATATATATATATAGTCACTGAGATTTCATACAATATTTTCACGTCCGAACAAATCCGATTCGGTCTGACCGTCTCGGACCCTCATCAAGGTCTTCCGCGTCATGGGGATCTTCGCCTCGACGTCGGCCTCAGGGCTAGGCTGTGATCGGATGACGTTCTCCTTTTCCACTCTTCTAGTAGGGACATGTAGGGCTGGGAAAAGGTTACCCTGTTACCGTGTCACTCTCGTTCCACTTAGATCTGGCTTTCAAGCTCTGCACTTGGCTCCAAAAACAGCGGATCGAGCCGCGGCTCGGATTCCGGGCGTAACCCACTTCCTCCAGCAAGCGCAGGCGCTGAGAGACGAAGACGCACGCCGAAAGCCCTGGCCATTGGCCTGGCGTCGTTCATTCGGACCTCTCCGATCAGCAGGACGCTACGATCGGGGCTCCTGGCCTAACTTACTACTTGTGACGAGGACGCTATTAGTGGCCTGCAGCAACTCATGGAATCATTATGGACACATTGTCTGTGGGTCACCAAACCGACTGGTTGACCTCTCGAACCGGTGTCACTTGGGTCTTTCGAACCGGACATCGTGGCCAGTCTGGTGGACTGGTCAGGGCGTTCCGCATGCGGTCAGAACGACGATAGCCATATGGGTGTGTATTGAAATAGGGAGACCTCCAGTTCGACCCTTTGAACATGGACCAGTCTACCCATGAGTTTTTCATCACCTTCCTTAGTAAGCCAATTGAACCAAGGATCTCCTGATTCAAATCCACTGGTGAGATCACCCGGTCTCACTCAGTGCCTTTCTGCACCGGTTTCTGCAAGCGCCGCCGCAGAGGCGTCCACGACTCCGAGACCTGCGCCTCAACGTTCTTCCGGAGACTCGGGAGGTGCAGGGAGACTCTGCAGCTTTGGCATGCCGAAATTCCGAAATTCCCATGAAATAGAGAACAAGGTTGTGTTCCAACATGAAACAATATATGACACAAGACCTGACGAATTCAAGGATCAACCATCCATTTCAGAAATCACAAACAACAGCAAAAAAGAACATCGCACATTCCGGGCATCTGCCGTTTGTGTCTCAAATGACGTGGGCGTCTTCTTCCCTTGTTTGCAGCCAGCCGGTAGATCTTGTGATGAGAACCAATTGGCTGTAAGTTGTAACCTTCAACTCAGAACCCCAACAACTCGTTTGTTAATCGTTTTCCAAGCACAAGGGTAGCATTCCGCGCACGGCTCATGGTATCATCAGGAATTCTGAGAGCTTGACAGGTATCAGACCTGCGACACCTTGGCGATTACTTGCATGAGGAAGAACGCTGGATGCTGGATGTTGATTACAGTAGACTACAGTGAGCTGATTTCTTGCATTTCTTCGAATACGAGGGACACCAGCCATGAAATTCCCCAGCCATAAAACACCTCGCTCCATGGCTGACCATGTCCTGATGAAGTCAGGCACAAATGATCCCAAAACTGCACTGATTAAACTTGCAAGCGGCTTGCCCTTGCTTTAACCGTTTTCCTTGACAGAGACATGGCAATTACTGTATATATAGTCGTGTTTAAACGCGACCTGGCCAATTCCGACCATGTCTGGCCGGTCTTGGCTGCCCAGCTTCGGTCTGCCCGACTGGGCCTGCCATCTGCGCAGTAGCAGGCAAACGGCAGGCCATGTTCAGATCCGGTCCCCAAAGAGATGTCCTAAAGTGTTCCAGTAGATGAACGCTCTTGACAAAAAGATTGATTTTTCTATCTGGGGTCATTCTACAACACGTGGGGAGATGGGAACATCTTGGAACCCTAAACCCTAAATCCCAGTCTTCCAACTATTTGGCTCAATTCCGGTGGATGAGACGCTCCCAGCTCACTTCCAGGCGCTTGCAAGCTAGATCTTGCTGCTGCTGACACTTGCAAACACGGCTTTGTCCAACGTGGCTGCCGATCGACTTTAGTGATGATGCCATGCGGTAAAGCCTAGAAGCGTGAATTGGTGCCGATGTTGAACAGGTCTGCAACAGAAGGCATGGGCTGCGTGGGCACGTATAAAACTGGGTGGACTAAACGCGGCGGTGCTTGATTGGTCTGCAGGTTCTGTTTGAGGCTCCCGCGCCAATAGGTTCGTTGGTAAAAAATGCACTACTGCAGCACGGCCAGTGTTCTGCACGTACTTTCTCTCTCGCAATCGTGGACAAATGAATGTGCGGGGTCGGATTGGCATGTGTCGCCTTTGTTTTTTAGTTTTCCAGGTGATTTTTGAATTTTGGCCAACGGAGGGTGAACGATGTGAAGGCATGTTTCTAAGTTTGCTGGTGAAACTTCTTCAATTGAAAGATGACTTGGCAACCATCCCGTTTCCCTGTTTCCTGGTTTGACGGGTTGGCTTTGAAGGGCATCGGCTACTAGCTGGTGTTGTGCTGATGGCTGAACTAATCCATACAAACGCAGATTTCCGAAATGATATGGACTGAGCTGGGCTGGGCACGGAGGCTGAAACATGGAAAACATTCCGATGTTCGACAATGCTGCATGCCATGAACTGCAGAAATCCCAATTGGAGTAGTTTCAAAGTAGGTTTTGTATTTTTTTTCAAGACTTTGTGTAGTTTGCGGATAACATTGATCAACGCTGTGTGCCTCCTGAGCACCATGGGACTGCCAAGAAGGCTGAAACGGCAAGTGTTGTGTTGGAGTACCCGTGGAGGTCAGGGTCATGGGACAATCTAGAGAACCTGGACTTGTTGATACTCCTTGCCAGCAGGTCAGGAAGGGTCGACCGTTCATTGCTGGATTATTTCAACATGAATCATGAATCAGGTTCTTCTTAAACAACATGTTAAATGCGCTGTGTGACTGGCTTGTCTTTGGTAGTCCTTGTCTCGTGTAGTCGGGCCGCTCTCAACACATGTGTCATAGGATCACCCTAGCGACCTCCGCTCTTAAGTAGCAACATGGGTTCCACACATGCATGTTGCAATTATGCAGGCTGCCTGCTGTCCTTGATATGATTTGGTGGTTTTGACATGAACCTCGACATGTTGGATTCTGAGTACCAGGTGCTGAGCCAATTTGCACGATCAGTTTCGAGCCGTGGCTGAAATGAGCGACTCATGAGACTCGATTCCACGCAGCTGTTTTCTTTGCTTAAGGAACAGGGAAAAGATCTTCCCAAGGAGGGATTCAGCCATAGAGAGAATAAACATCCTAAGCAAAACCAAGCATGCCAACAAGTGGTGGTACTACTGTAGCGCTTCTGCTGAAAATCCGCACCTGTGAAGCCCGAGTTCACACTTCTCAGTTGAATTAGTTTGGCAGTATGGTGCGAAGATGACTTTACCACAAAGCAGGTTCGGTTCACTGTGTCTCGTGACCCCTTTTTACCGATCCGTGGACCAGGGCCTGTCCATGCAGCTGTTCCGGCGGAAAAGAACACGCACATGGAACAGAAGAGTTTTTGTTCACAATAACAGGGGCAAACTTATCGCTGAAACACACACACACAGACACAGGAGCTGCCGGCAAAACACATTGTAGTCAGTACATCACAAAAGCGGAACAACTTGGGTCAGCAAGCATGCAAAAATGCATGGAGATGACCACATGAGCTAGACACAGCTAGACTATCTCCCCCTTTATACTCATGCCATCTCATGCCTTAGTTTGCACCAAAAGGGCTCAAAGGGTCATGTGCTAGGGCTAGGACATGTCTGAACATGGACCGTGGCTTTCTCACTGTTCTCAAAGCAAAGCTGCGACCTGGCTGCCTGTGCCTCATCGATCTTTCCCAGTGTGCATTAGTAAGACAAAAAAGAACAAACTCACAGGCCTCAAGGCGCCTCAAGGCCAAACTTCAACTGCCTCCATAGTCAACCGCACTTATAAAAGGCCTCAAGTCGCGTCTACGTGACACTTCCTCTTGCGATGCTGGAGTGTTTTGTTGGGATGTTTTGAACCTCGCCGCTCCCAGGTTTCGGCTCCCAAAGCGCCAGCGTTTTCCTTCGCAGGCTGCCTCACATTGGAGGCAGAGCTCTACGACACGTGGGACATTCCATCTTCACGTCCATCCACCTGGCATCCAACCCACGCCCATCCAAACACGGCGAAGCTGCTGGTGGAGAGATGAAAACTGGCTCACGGTGCAAAAAGTTATCCTTTTTCATGCTGAGAGCACACGAAAAAGACACGTACATATCATACATTAACCAGCAGTCAACTATAGATTGATGATAAACATAATTCGTGAGCGAACTCCAAAAAAAATAAAGAGTGGGACCTGGAGGGCTTTCGACCACAAAGCAAGTACGGGGCAGGCCGCATTCCCTCGGTTTCGATTGCATCAGATCGGTCAGTGAAGAAAAATGGCTCTATATACCTCCGAAAAGACTTTTCGGCGGTGCAAACCATCTTCCACCCGTTTCGACGCTCGCTTTGGGGCTGCTGCCATTGCTTGCGGTCCGTAGCCGTCGCGATTTCAACGTTGTGGTCGCATGTTCCAGCTTGAACACGACACTGACGACACCTCCCTCTACTCCATGTGGTGAACACTTATTGAGTTGTGATGAACATCATCCTTGGCATCCTTTCCCTCGGTTTAATGCTGCAACAAGACCGAATTACTTCTTTAACTTTCTTTACATGTGATTTTTGAATCTTTTTGGGTCTTCAGGATGATCAAAATGTACGACATACATGAATATACATGATGTATCGCTCCACCCTTCGCCCTTCGCCCCACCCTACGCCTCTCTAAGCAGGCTTCATGAAAGCGGTGCTCACAGGGAGTCGTGGCGATCACGCCATCCTAGGCCGATGGCAAACCACCGTCTGCATGACCGACCGGTTGACCGGTTGACCACTGGTCCAATGAACCAGGTAGGTCGAGCACCAAGGATTCACGGTCAACTTGGTTAGGCTTCTTTTCGAACTCCTGGCCACCAAAGCCTGAGATTTCCAGATCATTCGACCTACTGAAGTTCATTCTCTTCCACAGCTTCTGGTTGGACGTGAATTCGAAGCCCAAGCTTTGATGTGGGTGTAAGGTTGAGATGAATCAGGATGAGATGAACAGGTGGGACGATATAGTTGAGGCACATCTTTTTGCTGGCCTTTCATCGTGTTTCTCCCGGCCACCATGACAACATGCGTGTCCATATCCCATAGATGAGGGCAACCTGCAAGGAATGGCCCCAAGAAACAATAGTTCCATGCAAATTTCTGTTGCTAGCGGTCTGCTGATCCAAGAAAGGTTGTGTTGAGCCCTAAAATACCAAACTAGTTGCAATCTAGAATTAATCAATCATATGTATATTTGTACACTCTCTTAGCTTCCAGGGTCTGCCAGTGCCCTTTGTATCGGCTTGTCTCCACTGATTCCCCAGGTTTAGCCTCCCATGTTTCATCACCTCTTGTGGTGTTCCATGGTGTCCCCAATCAGCGCGCCTCTGGACCAATCTCCAACATGCAAATCACACACTCTGACTGCAAAGACCCCTGCAGCGTTCGGACGAGAAGATGCGAGATGGAGAACTGCGGAAGGTTCCACTGCCAAAGCCACGCATGTGTGGCGTTCTGAACAACGTCTGGTCAAAAGAACCATTGGTTCAAATATGACTGTGGGTCAAAACCAGGGAACCCCTGGTTGACCACGGAAAATGGACAAAATAGCCTGGGAGGTCAACCTACCCTGGTTTGGGGATCTGGGTTTTGACCGGGCTTAGCCGAATGGAATCTGGTGAGATAGAACACCGCATCGCTGGGTTTGTTAATTCTACTTTTCAACGCTAACCCGCGTGAGAGTCCAAATGCGGGTCGTGTATGTCAGGAAGACAAAGTACGGAATATATACAAATATATATATATATATTAATATATACATATATATAATATATATAATGCATGTTTTTTTAGCTACAACAAAAGATCGTTTGAGGAGATAACAGATCGATTATGACCCGAACAGACGCCGGGGTGATTGAGCGACCCGCAAGTGCCGAGTCTGCGACCCGTCCAAGCTGCCGATCGGCTCGGAGACCGACAGAGTGAGACGTATGGAACCTTCTCCTGCTTAGGCTCCAGATCAAATGCAGGAGCAGGTCGACAGATCCATCGATCAGAGACACGGTTTGGACAAAAAGATGTGCTTGCAGCGGCTCGTTGGTCAAGTCCGGCTCGTTGCTGACAGGAGACCTGGTAGCTGCAAGGAAGCACGTGCTTCCTGCCAATCTCACTATGCTTGATATAACCTTTTCCCACACCGTGGGCTTCACAAGCTTACGCAAGCTGGGCATTGTGGATTTGTGTCTCTGTGCCGATTTTAAGGTTCCGTCTCCACATTCACAAGCGAGGCCACCTCTTGCAGTTCAAGACATGCATAGCAATCAATGCATCCAGTACCTTGGGACACCATTGAGGGGGGTCTCCTCTCTTGGCCAAATGGTGAAGCACTGTGGCCATCGTCTCAAGCTATGCAGAAGCTCTGAAGGGCCTTCTTGGACTGAGGGAGGGTGGCGAGCTTCGGGTGGCCTAGGGTCCTCGGCACTGAATGCACGGTACGGTGTAATGGTACCTTGGCATACCTTGGCATCGAAATGGCCTGGAATAGGCACCATGTGCTGGAGATTGACAGCAACTTCGATAGTTGCAGATCCAAAGGTGCAAAAAGGCAGTGCAGAATCTGCAGACATTCCGAAGGCTTGCATGGAAGACTCTGCATCAAACCAAGCTTGAGTGCACTAATAATTTTGGCTGAGACCAAAGTAAGTGAAGCAGCAATCACGACCCCTGAGCATCTAAGGTCTGAGTCTCACCCAGACTCTGACTCACTAAGATAGAAGTGGACAATGGCTCCTTGGAAAACACCTTTGCTCTTGAAACATGGGTTGCCCACTTCCATACTAGTGTGTCAGGGTGTCAGAGTGTATGTGTTCCTGTTGTATGCAAGAAATCACTCGTCTTCGTCATCCGACGCCCGAGCAGGTCTTTTTGGTGCCACATGCAGCACATGATGCCAACATCCACCAGGCTCGCACCCCAATCATCTTCATTTCATGGGCACTTTAATTCTCCAGGCTCAAGCTCCTATCAATTAACACTCTGACAACTAAAATGGAAGTGGACAACCCCCTGTTTGCACAGGCAAGTTTTTCGTCTTCCAATGGACCAGGCCATCCACTTCCGGTTAGTGAACCAGAGCGTAATTCTATGTAATTCTGAAAAATCAGGGATCCCCAATCACTGAAGGCCCCTCGTCGCCTCTCTTTGACAGATTCGTTGGGGCCCACCATCTCTGCCAACATCTCTCAGTTGAAACATCATTTAGCTCGGATTTTTGACGTTCCTCGCGTCCTTATGTGTCGTCACTGGAAGACCTGAGAGGTCTCAGGAGTCACAACCTGATCTGATCTGGTGCTGACAGAAAACGACATCAACCACATGACCGCGGCATGGTGGGGGCGCCGTGACCTCTGCCATCCCACCACGGGAAAACCCCGGTCCAACGCTTCGTGGTGAGTTTTCACACGAAAAGACCCCAGCCTGGGAGTGTCTCCGGTAGTTGTAGACATGTGGAAGGCATAGCCAAGGGACGAACCACCTGCGAAAGCGCTCTGTGGGTTTCTTTTTCGTACACCGAGGTGGGAAGCAATTCTCAACACTGGCAAAAACAGCTAGAGCACCTCCAGAGCACGAGTATTTCAAGATCTC